TTTTTTTTTTTTCACAGTTTAAGTTTCAACAATCATCATCATCGTCATCATGGGATCATCAAACAGGCACTGGCCAAGCATGTTCAAGTCGAAGCCCACCGGCAATTCAACTCTCAATCACCATCAATGGCAGCAGCACGACCTTAACCCTTCTTCTCTCATCTCACACACTACTACTTGCAGAGGTACCCATTAACTTCATAAACCCTAAACTTCCAATTTACTACTAAATATTGATTAAATTCTTTTTTATATATATATATTTTTTTCTTTAGGGCCGGGATGCGAAGATCGGACGCCGGAGCCGAAACCCAGATGGAACCCTCGGCCGGAGCAAATCCGAATACTCGAAACCATCTTCAACTCCGGCATGGTGAACCCTCCACGAGATGAGATCAGGAAAATTAGGGTTCAGCTTCAAGAATACGGCCAGGTGGGGGACGCTAACGTCTTCTACTGGTTCCAAAACCGCAAGTCCCGGAGCAAGCACAAGCTCCGAAACCTTCAGCCGGCCGCCGCCAAACCCCGCCAGCCTCCGCCCCCGCCGGTGACAAACTCCTCCTCGTCCTCCTCCGGCAAGTCGTCTTCCCCCAACAGCTCCAACGAGAAGACCCTCTCAGCCGGACCCACCACGCCGACGGCGGCGGCCGCCGCCGCCGCCGTGGTGGACTACCTGAACTCGCCGACCGCCTCGGTGAACCAGCGGGCTTTCGGCCATGCGGCGGCGAGCGAGTTCATGGCGGAGAACTTCGTCTTTCCGGTGAACCAGGGTTTGCCGGCTGTGGGTTTCTGTTTTCCCGGCGGCGAGGGAGTCTCCGGTGGGATAGCGGATCAGGGTTCCGGCATGGGATGCCAGAATTTATTGCTGAGTGAGCTGATGCTGATGAGCAGCTGCCCGTCGAAGGTCAGGGATGACGAGGATGAACATGAGAAGATGAAGCTTGAGCAACAGTTCGGTTATGGTGGGCCGGCTGTACCGAATCCGGCTCACCACTTCCTTCCTCCGTCTATCTGCACTCCTCACTATCAAATTGTTCAAGGTATTTCGAATAAAACAAATATTTTAATTTTATTTTTATTTGTTTGTTTTGAAGAATGAAAAATTAGGGTTTATTTGCGATGAAATTGGCCTTTTTTTCCCTTTTTTTTCTCCTTTTTATTCACCTGAAATTTACTTTGCTAATTAATTAAAATTGGTAAACTAATAATTTCCCTTATATTTCATCTATAATTCATTTAATTGTTAATTCATTTTCACGAAAATATGTTGATCCAACGGCTCGGAATTCAATGTAGGCGAGTACCCGTACGATTTAATTATGCCAAACCAGAATATGGTTTGGCATAATTTGACTCTAATTTCATTTAAAGATACAATTTTTAGAAGATGAAGAGACTTTTTTTTTGTAAACAATTAATAGAAAAATAAAAATTGAAGACATATGTAAATGTAGTAAATGCTACACGGAACTATTCCATCGAGATTTGTAACCGTTAGATCATCATATAACTGTCAGATATAGTTGATCTCAACTGCTACAAACCCCGACGAAATAGTTTCGTAACAGGACCGTAGCATTTCCTGTTGGTTCCATATTTGGGAATGAGACCGAGCATGTCACGGTCTAAGGGATGTGATCATCATGTGACTGATGTTTGTTTGCTCGCACTACGTACAGTGACTCTTTTTTGGGGCACTTGATACGTTATGAGTGGACATTTATATGTCATAATACAAAGCCAAAAAAACAAAATTTAAAATAAAAGAACAAAAGTGGGATGCATTTGTCTTTGGCCCCGCAATCCATGTTCTTTGTCCCTCCCAACGTCTGCATGGATTGACTATCATATAAAAAAAAAATTTAATTAATTAATTAAATTGTGATTTTACTTGGTGTAGGTGTGGAGGGTGAATTGGGTTCGGGCATGGGCCCCACAAAGTCCACGGTGTTCATAAACGACGTCTGCTTCGAGGTGGGCTCGGGCCCGTTTAACGTGAGGGAATCGTTTGGCGATGATGCGGTGCTTATACACTCGTCCGGGCAGCCCGTGCTGACCAATGATTGGGGGGTCACACTCTACCCGCTACAGCACGGCGCGTTTTATTATCTCCTCCGACCCAACTTCGCGCCTTCGCCCGATGACGTGAGGACAATCGAGTTGGTAAAAAATTCATTCTCTACATTTTTTCTTTTACCTTTATTTATTCACCTTTGGGATGATATATATGTTCACTGACTAATTCAGATCTTGTTTCTTTATGGTTTGTGTTATGCAGATTTAGAAGAATTTATGAAGAAGGGGAAGATAAGTAGCACTACTTAATTTTTCTAGTTTTTGTTCAACTTTTGTTAAGCTTTTTAGTGTATTAATGTTATAATTCCCTTGGCAATTGTAATGGATTTGTGGATCAATCTCTCTACTTTTTACCCTTTAGAAACTTCTAGATTTAGTAGGTCTGAGGTATGTGATGATGTTTGATGTTATTATATAAATATGAACATTAATATTGTGTGGAACAGAGATTTGTGTACTTAGTTTTGGGAAATGCTACGGTCCCGTTACAAAACCATTCTATCAGAGTTTGTAATCGTAATTAAATCAACTATCTCCGACGGTTATATGATGATATCAACCGGTCACAACCTCAACGAAATGGTTCCGTAACGGAACTGTAACATCTCCCCTTAGTTTTTAAGTTCATAAATTGGTTAGTGTTAAATTGGCATCTCAAAATGATTTTTTTTATTTATTTATTTTTTACAATTATTATTTTTATTATTCGAGTTGGTATAACAGCATATGTGTATATGCACAAATACATCAAGGCTACTGTTGAAAGATATATGCAGTGTGTTGTCAATCCAATAAAAAAAAAA